TTCGCTATAGGGCGCGTGCGCTCGCCAGACAGACAGAGAGAGACATAGAGACAGAAAGCGAGAAATCACCCCCCAGGGGGGATGGTCACGCCGCAATCCCTTCTCCTCCATTCTCCTCTCGGGATCTTGGGCACGTACGCACACGTGCCCGGCGTGAGTTTTAAGCCACCGGGTCCGGGACGCAAACCGCGGTCGACTACGTGGGAGTCCAGTGACATAGCCATTACGCTAACTGCTGGTTCCCTGAATGTATTTTTAAAAAAAGCTAAAAAGTACATAAGCTTAGACTTATCTTCAGGAATCAATGTTTTAGTAATTAATCTTATTTGGAAATTATACATTTAATGAATATGTATCATTTAACTTAATAGTACAAATTTGAGGTTTGAAGTTGCCCAGAGGGTTTGTAAACTATTCTTAGGCAGACATATCATAACATTAAACAGAATTATCTGTCACCTCAAGTCATTTTTCTTTTTCTTGGAGAGATTTTCACTAGAGGGCGCGTGCGCTCGCCAGACAGACAGAAAGAGACTAATTAGAGACAGAAAGTGAGAAATCACCCCCCATGGGGGGATGGTCATGCTGCAATCCCTTTTCCTCCATTCTCCTCTTGGGATCTTGGGCACACACGCACACGTGCCCAGCGTGAGTTTTAAGCCACCGGGTCCGGGACGTGAACCGCGGTCGACTACGTGGGAGTCCAGCGACATAGCCATTACGCTAACTGCTGGTTCCCAAGTCATTTTTCTTGATGACACATTTTTGTTTTTAGTTTCTGCTGTAGGGCACGTGTGCTTGCCAGAAAGAGAGGGAAAGCAAGTAATCACTCCCCAGGAGGAATGGCCATGCCTCAATCCTTTCTCCTCTAGTCTTCTCTTGGATTTTGGGCATGCACGCACACAGTCCAGTATGATTTTCAAGCTGCCAGGGACTTGAAACGTACAGTCTGATGACACTTTTCTTTTTTTTTTGCTATAGGGCACATGCGCTCTCCAGAAAGAGAGAGAGAGACAGAGAGACAGAAAGCGAGAAATCACCCCCCCCAGAGGGGATGACCATGCCGCAATCCCTTCTCCTCCTGGGATCTTGGGCATGCATGCATATGCGCCTGGCGTGAGTTTAAGCCACCAGGTCCAGGACTTGAACCACAGTCAACTACATGGGAATCCAGTGACATAGCCATTACGCTAACTGCTGGTTCCAATGACACATTTTTTAACAGAGATCATACGAGCTTATTTGACTAATAAAATGAGCTCTTCTAAAATGTAAACTAGGAAATGAACTCTTCTAAAATATTATTTTAGGGGCCAGACAGTGGTGCAGTGGTAAAATATGACACTCTGTGAAGCAATTCCACATGGGAAGGTTGCAGGTTCAAGTCCAGAGACCTCCCTGAGTACACTAGATACACATATATACCATAGTCTGGGGACGGATCACGGTATTACAAGCCTGTTAGAGGTGCTGTCTCTCACTCACTCACACTCATGACAAACATAAATAAACTTAAAATATGTATTATTTCTAATACCATCTAGAGGTAGAATACTACATATAAATAAGATGCATATAGAAATATACACAGGGCGGGGGG